CGAGCCCCGCCCTGCATGCTTCTAGGGAGCGTCTCTTCTGTTTTTGAAGAATTTCTGTTCTGGGGCTTGTACTTCCTTTGCAGCTGTTTTGAATGTAGTTTTCCTTTTCTATTTATTTGCACATTAAAGTTAAAAATTAAATATTGACCTAACTCCATGAGATCCTCTCCGGCCTTGTTGCTTGCCGTCGAATCCCCATCTGCCCCTGCGCCCCCGCGGTTCCCAGACCCCAAGTGCCGCCCCCTTGTGGCCACCCCATGCCTCTGCAGGAGGGCCCTGTTCCCGCCCCAGGGTGTCACCCCACCCACAGAGTTTTCTGGAAAGTTCATTCCCAACTCAGTTTTTATTTTCAGTAGAAAGGAGAGGAGCGGTGTTTCCTTTGAGTGTTGTGCATGGAAAACCCAATTTAAAGACTGGTGTTGGCTCTGAGCTTGCTCCGCCTGCCCAGCACGGTGTCTTTCCCTCCCGCACCCCACAAAGCCACCCTCCCTCCGTGCTCTCTGGTCCCTGCTCCCAGCTGGGCCCCCCCCTTCCTCTCAACACACCTCCTGTGACTTTGTCATCACCCCTTCTGAGCTCACCTGGGCCTGCTCCCATCCAGCCCCGCCTCCAAGGAAGTGGGAGACCACAGCTCTTCTTAGGGTCCTCTTAGCGGATACCCCTTGAGGCTCCTGGCTGGCCTTTTCCTCCACTTCCCCACCAGTGCCCACCGCCAGGCCTCACCAGTCGAGTCTCCGAGCTGAGACTGCGCTGCCCATGGGGTCTGTCCTCTCCCAGGTGCGGTCCTCCATCTCCCCGAGTGGTCCTTGCTGCCTTCCAGGGAACCCCTCGTCCATGTGCACCCCACACACGATGTCCCCTGGTGCTCCACACCTCCCCCTCCAGAGAGTCGGGGCTTCTGGGGAGTTTGGTGAATGAGGCTCAGCTGTCCCAGATTCCTCCTTGCCTCAAGCCCACGTCGAGGATGGGTCTCAGGGCCCTGTGTGCCCACGGACTGGCCTTCCGGTTGGAAGCGCTGGGGAGAGGTGTCCTGGGGTGTGGGTCCTGGCCGCTGCAGCCTCTGGGAAGGGCATGGGAAAGGGCACCGGGTCCCCGGAGTGGGCGGGCCCTATGGCTGCGATCAGGTTGCTAGAGGAGAGACTGGAGGGAGGGTCTCCTGGCCCTGTTGGGAAGGGGGAATGACCAGTGCGGATGAGGACCCGGCCCCGTGGACACGCAGCCTGCATCCTGGTGAGGCGCTGAGCAGGGGACCGGCCTGCCAGGCCCGGACTCCTCACCCGCGGAGGCGCCAGATCCTAAGGGCCTGTCATTCCAACCACCGCGTCTGCAGCCCTGGATTGCACCGCAGTGAAAAACAGGCCTGATGAATAAAGCAGCCCTCCATCCTCACCGCCGCCCACCTCTCTTCTTCCCTCCTTCAAGTCTGGGGAGGGGCCGAGCCGCAGGACCAGGTAGGCGGCCCTCCCCTCCCCAGGGTGGTAGAGGGAGCAGGTGTGTGATGCTTGCGGAGGTGGCGGGGGGGGGGGGGGCTCTCCAGTGGGGCCTGATGCACATTTATTCTGTTATTTATTCTATTATTTCTCTCCTCTTATTCTGTTATACCTTTTGCAAGGTATAAGCCACACTTTGCCCCTGATGTCCTGGCTGAGAAGGAGGCTGATTGTTCTGAACAGCAAGTTGACCTCAAGGCCGTCTCAAGAGGGGTGGGTGGGGACTGGGGGGAGGTAGGACCTCCCAGTAGGAGGCTGAGGGCTGGAGGTGTGGGGTGAGATCTGAATGCACCCAGCACCTCCACAGCCACGGTTGCTGGAAGGTTGCCCGAGGGTCTCCAGCGCCTTGTCCGAGCTCCGAGCTCCAGCATGTGGCCCGATGGAGCAGCTGGGACTGAGGTCCCCGGGAGGAGACACGGGGCATCTGGGGTTGGGAGAGCCAGACCTCAAAGCTGGCCGGGGTCAGAGCACCCTCTTCTTGGCCGGAAGTGGGTTACTGTCCCTGCCCACAGGCTGAGGCCCGGTCCGGGAATAAGGGGAAATGGAGGCATAGTGGTGGGTGCCCATCTGCCTTCAGAGTACGACAGAAAGAAATCACAGTCTCCACGAAGACGGTTCCGCGAGAGGCGTCACGTTGGAAGGACTCGTGGCGTCTCTAACTGGTGCTCTGACCCCCATCTAACACTGGAGACAGTGAGGTGGGCCAAGAGGGGCTCTGGGGGCTTCCGGGGGTTCAGGTGGGGCTGCAAGCTGAAGGAATCCAGCACTAGCTACTGACTCGGATCTGATTGCCCTTCCCCCCGCCCCACCATTTTAAATAAGTTTTTAATTGTGTTAAAATGCACATAAACTTTAGCCACTCTAAGCATCCAGTCTAGTGGCTCTAAGTACCTTCCCATGGTTGTGCGGCCATCCTCACCCTCCATCTCCAGGACTCGTCATCTTCCAAACTGCAACTCCGTCCCCACGAAACGCGGACTCCCGGCCCCCGCCCCCAGCCCCTGGAGCCCCCCATCTCCTTCCTGGTCCTGAGAACCTGACCCCTGGAGGGACTTCATCTTTGGCGACCATATAGCTTTGATGCTTTTGTGACTGGCTTATCTCACTCCGCATAATGTCCTCAAGGCTCAGCCATGTTGTGGAAGAGCTTGTATCAGATTTTCCCTCCTTTTTAAAGCTACTATTCTACCCTTGGGTGCCTGGGTGGCTCAGATGGTTAAGCGTCTGCCTTCGGCTCGGGTCATGATCCCGGGGTCCTGGGATCGAGTCCCGCATCGGGCTCCTTGTTAGGCGGGGAGTCTGCTTCTCCCTCTCCCTCTGCCTTTCCCCCTGCTTCTTCTCTCTCTGTCTCTCCCGCAAATGAATAAATAAAAAATCTTTAAAAAAAAAAAATTAAAGCTACTATTCTACCCTTTTTAAAAAATGTGAGTTTTGGGGACACCTGGGATGGCTCAGTTAAGCGTCCAACTCTCGGTCTCAGCTCAGGTCTTGATGTCAGGGTGATGCGTTCAAGGCCCCGCGTTGGGCTCCATGCTGGGCACGGAGCTAAATAAATAAATAAATAAAATGTGAGGTTTTTATGGAAAGTGACAGATGATATAGAAAATTCCAACAGTACAAAAAAAACCACACGGAGAAAAGTAGGCACCTAAGTCCCTCTCCCCAAAGCAGCTGCCCCCGAGCGCCCTCCAACAAGTGCCTCACCATGGCAGGTCGCCCTGCACCTCCTGTGTCGGGCCCCCCACCCCGGCTGGCACAGGGTGGTTTCTGTGATGGGGCTGTTGATAGGCATCCCCGCCTCTGTGCGGCGGGGAATACCCCGGTACGGGCAACTTCCTGTGTGCGTGTGCTTGCCATCGATTCCCAGACACAGGACTCCCGGGCCAAACCACCCTCCTTGGGGGGCTACCGTCCACCCTGCCCCAGAGTCGCCCAGCTGCTAGCCCCCAGCCTCCCATGCACAGGTTCCCTGCTCCGCTCCTGGAGGGCAGGAGGGGGTCCTCATCTGGGTTCCCCTGTGCGCTGAGCGTGACCTTGGCCACGAACTGCCAAGAGACATGGGCGTGGCTGAATTTGTCACGGGTGCCGGTGGAAACAGTCCGGAAACGGGGGAGACTCCTGGCTGGGACCCTGTCCCGGCCAGAGCTCTCTAGGCCTCGGTCCCCCACCCTGGGCTGGGGGCAGGGACCTTGGCACCTCACCCTCAGCTGCACTGGCTCTGTCCAGGGCTGCTCGGTCACTTCCTGGCTGGCCCCTGTGACCTCGAGTGTGTGGCTAGATTAAGGCTCCCAGACCAGGACACGGCCACATTGCTCCCCTTCTCCCGCCCCTAGTTCATTTCTTCTTCCCTGACCCCACCCCCACCCCCTCAGGGTTCTCTTGCTCTCAGACCCCCCCTCCTCACCCCCCACCCCCACCATGGCCTAACCCTGACCACACTGGTCGAGAACCCCCGTGAAGAGCTTCCCCAGGGCAGGATGGTCGAGGCCTCTCCCCCGGAGGGGCAACAGAGGGGATTGTGTGCAGAAGAGAGAAGGCGTACCCTCCCCCCCCCCCAGCCCCTCTGCGTTTTTTTCAGCTGCACAAGAGGCCCCGTCTGAGTGCAGGGTCGTGGAGGGGCCAGAGGAGGGTGGGTGGCTCAGGGGCCCTCTGTCCTGGGCTGGTCTGACCACCACTCTCAGGCTGAGGTATGGCCATGACCATTCCCAAGAGCCCCAAGGGGAGGATGGAGCCAGGACGGGAGCAGAAGGGGCTCTTGGGCACCGAAGAGGGCCGAAGCTGGGCTCCTCTCTGCTCCCCAGGTCAGCACTGGGGGTCCGGGCCGAGGACCAAGACCTCCTCAGATACCCCAGTCTCACAAAGTGCCTTCCCCTCCCTGCACCTCACTTTGGGCCTGCCCGCCCAGGGGAGCGGGCTGGGGTATGAGGGGGCAGCAATAAGGCAGGCAGCCCCGACAGAGGACCTGGGGTGCTTGCAGGGGGGGAGGATGGCTCACGTGCTCTGATCTGGGACCTGGGGTGCTTGCAGGGGGGGAGGATGGCTCACGTGCTCTGATCTGGGACCTGGGGAGGCAGGGCTGTGGTCCAGCCAGCCACAGGCAGGAGGTGGGGAGAGGTTTCAGGAAGGGCCAAGAGCCCCTGAGTACGTGACCCGGCAGGCTGTCGTGGGAACAGGGGCTGCAGACAGGACTGGATAGCAGGAAGTAGCCACTTGGCCCATAGAGGCTTTCTGGGCTGAACGGGGGCTGAGGGCGGGGAGTACAGCCTGGAACCTCCTCCCCCATCCTGCTGGCCCCACACCTGGCCCCCACGTGTGGAACTGACTGACTGCTAGCTCCCAGGCCTCCTCAGGCCACACCGCGGGCCTGCCGCAGGCTTGTGGGGGCAGGGGCTGGTTTATCTCACTGGGCCCTGTCCACTCCTCCACTGGTGCTCAGGAAGCTGGGGGTGGGGGTCAGCCAGGCAGGAAGCCTGAGGTCAGCGGCCACAGCCCAGAGCAGCCGGCGCCCAGCCCTGGCAGCATGTGGATACTCGTGCTGCTGTGGCCCGTGGTGCTGGGGTTCAGCCTGGAAGATGACAGCCAGAACACCCTCACCTACGACGAGATGGGGAGCACGGGGGCAGGTAATGGCGAGTGACCTTGGGCCTGGGGGGGAGACCTAGTAGAGTTGGTGAGTGGGAGACAGGGAACTGGGGAGGGGGGGTCCTCCAGCCCAGCCCGGAGCCCATGGGGCTGGGGGTGTCATGTCCAGCCCTGACCCACCAAGCTGGGGGCTCCTGAGAGCTGGGGCCTGGACTGTAGCACCACCCCCGCCCCCCCCCACCGCCGCCGCACCGGGAGCAGCACCAGCGGGGGCTGGGGCCGGGAGGTGGGGGTGACGCCTGGACTCTCAACACCTCTATCCCCTTTCCCCCAGATGGCACAGTGGGGCCCTTGAGCGGGCCCCAGGAGAAGACCCCTCACTCACCCCACCTGCGCAGCTTCCCCGGCCAGCTCCAGGGCAACAGCAGCAACATTCTGGAGCTCCCAGACAGCTCTCGGGCCCTGCTGCTGGGCTGGGTGTCCACGAGGCTGGTGCCCGCGCTCTACGGGCTGACCCTGCTGGTGGGGCTGCCCGCAAACGGCCTGGCGCTGTGGGTGCTGGCCACCCGGGTGCCGCGGCTGCCCTCCACCATGCTGCTGATGAACCTGGCGGCCGCCGACCTCCTGCTGGCCCTGACGCTGCCGCTGCGTGTCGCCTACCACCTGCAGGACCAGCACTGGCCGTTCGGCGAGGCCGCCTGCCGCGCGACCACCGCCGCGCTCTATGGCCACATGTACGGCTCCGTGCTGCTGCTGGCCGCCGTCAGCCTGGACCGCTACCTCGGCGTGGTGCACCCGCTCCGGGCCCTCACCCTGCGCGGCAGACGCCTGGCCGCTGGGCTCTGCGTGGTGGCCTGGCTGGTGGCCGGCGCCCTGGCGCTGCCCCTGGCGCTGCAGCCGCAGACCTTCCAGTTGTCGCACTCGGACCACGTGCTGTGCCACGACGCGCTGCCCGTGGGCGCCCAGGCCTCCTACTGGCGACCCGTCTTCCTCTGCCTGGCCGTGCTCGGCTGCTTCCTGCCGCTGCTGGTCATGCTGCTGAGCTACGGGGCCACCCTGTGCGCGCTGGCGGCCGGGGGCCCGCGCTACGGCCACGCACTGAGGCTCACCGCGCTGGTGCTGGCCTCGGCCGTGGCCTTCTTCGTGCCCAGCAACATACTGCTGTTGCTGCACTACTCGGACCCGCGCCCGGACGCCTGGGGGGACCTGTACGCCGCCTATGTGCCCAGCCTGGCGCTCAGCACCCTCAACAGCTGCGTGGACCCCTTCATCTACTACTACGTGTCTGTGGAGTTCAGGGACAAGGTGCGGGAGGGGCTGCTCTGCGTAGCTGGGGGCGCCTCCGCCACCTCCAGGGAGGGGGGCGCCCAGGGCACTCGCACCCGGTCCACCTCACTCGTGTGAAGGCTCCCCAGAAGGCGGGGCAGGTGGAGAGGGGGTCGTGCGGGGTCGAGCGGGGCCCCCTCCTGATTCATGTCTACCGGGAACCCCTGAATGTGAGCTTATCTGGAAACAGGGTCTTTGCAGGTGTTACTAAAATTCGGTCATACTGGCGTAGGGGAAGCCCTAAATCTGCCGTGACCAGTGTCCTTATAAGGAGAGGCCCACAGGCACACAGGGGAAGAGGCCATCTGACCACGAAGGCAGACATTGGGGTGAACAAGACGACTGCTAGCAGCCACGAGAAGCCGGGACGGCAGCCTGAGACGCCCTCCCTCGGAGCCCCCCCCAAAGAAGCGAACCCTGCCCACATCCTGATCTCAAGCTTCTGGCCTCCAGAATAGTCAGAGAATAAATTTCTGTTGTTTTAAGTCGCCTGTTTTGTGGTTTTGGGTTAGAGCAGCACCAAAAAATGAATATAGGGGTTAAATGCATACTCCCAGGCCCAGCCAGCTCCCTCACGTCCAAGGTGGGGCAGAGGCAAGGCTGATGCTGCCGTGGACCCGCTCCAGGAACCCCCTCCTAGGAGGAGGCTTGGGCCGCCCGCCCCCCTCATGGCCCAGGCAGCCAGGAGCCTGGTTGGCAGTCCTCCTTCCCCAAAGCCCAACATCTAGCCCTGGGATGGGCTCCAGGGTTTGGGGTGTCTCCTGGACAATCACCGTGGAGGCCCTCGTTCTGCTCCCCAGAGCCCGGTGCGGCCTGTCATTGGGACCCACAGGACTGTCACCTACTGTCACCTTGGAGGCAGGACAGTACCTCTTCCCCTTAACCCAAGGTCTGACTCTTCTTGATGTTAACGTCCCCCACCACCCCAGGACCAGGTGGGTGGGCAACTGGAGGGTGGACCGGTGGGCCTGGGCAGGGGCTACAACCCTGCGACCCCCACCCCAAGCTGTTTACCCCGGGTCTGAGCCGTTCTGAATGGAGTGGTGGTGGTGGGGGGGGTACTGCAAGGGGTGGGGACAGCATGGGGCACTTTGTCTGGAGCCATGGAGACGTCAACTGTGGGAGGCTCTCCCAAGGCAGAGGGGGGTGGGGGCCATTCCTGGGCTCCCCATCGGGGCCCGTATGTGTCTGGTCTAGAGAAAAATGAGCCAGTGGGTGGGCAGCCCCAGGACACACGCACATGCCCGTGAGCCTGGGGAAGTGTAAGATCAGCGAAGTACACCCTTGTCAGTAGCCTGGTTGATGACGTAGGAGTTTTCCAAGATGTTACCGCTGGGGTAGGGGTGCGGGGAGGCTGGGTGAACGGTAGACCTCTCTGTACCGGTAGAATTTCTTACAAATGCACGGGAATCTATCATTAGGTTGGGGTGCAGGTGTTCGAAAGGCTCCTCCCCGCCCGGCCCTGAAAGGCTGACTGGAGACTAGGGAACAGAGGTGCTAGGGGGCCTGACGGGAGCTGGGCCTCCAGCCCTCAGTGCTGCTCCCCCACCCAGGCCAAAGCCTGTCTGTGACTCTGGAAAGGAACTTTTATTATGGGAGCGGCCTCCACAGGGAGCGGGGGCTGGTGGGGGTGAGGGGCGCGGGAAGTGGCCAGGGACCCACTGGCTGGGCAGCGCCCTCAAGGGTCTCTGTGCTGTCCCTGCTGGAGGTCAGAGACGAGCAGCACTGGCCGCCATAAATACCACTGCACAGGGGAGAAGACAGGCCATGCCCGTGAGGGACCAGAAACAGGTGTGCCCTGAGGGTCACAGAGAGGAATGTGACCACAGCTGGAGGGTCCCCCGAGGAAGGCAGGTCTGGTTGCGGACCTGGGGCTCCCCCACCAGGAAGCTGGGAGAGGGCAGTCCCCCCATATGGCTTTCCCTGAGGGCCTGGCCCTGTTGGCACCAAACATTCGGGGACCCCTGGGGTGAGACAAGATGGGGGTGTGTGGGGAATGTGACAGTTATGGGACAAGTAGAGGTCTAGGTCCAGGGGTTCGGCAGCCCAGGTGCCCCAAAGAGGGCCCAAGCTTTGTATTTTGGAGAAAGGAGGCCTGTTTCATTTTGAAGTTGGTGATGAGGGGATGGATGCTTATCTATGTCCCTGATTTGGCTAAATGTCATCGTGTCTCCTCCGACAGAGGCCTCTGGCCACAGGTCCTTCCCGGGAGCATCCCCTCTCCTGGAGCGGGAGCTGCTCTGGCCCGAGGAGGGGGTGCCCAGCCCCCGGTGCAGCTGGGGAAGTGGGGGGATCAAGGCTGACCCTTCTGTTGAGGGAGGGCTGGGAGGAGGCCCGTCATCCATCGAGGCAGGTCTCTGCGTTCTGTGTATCAGGTTCATTTAGAGGCTGGGTTGCGGCCACCTGGGGCGGGGGCCGCCAGCCCACCAGAGAGTTAAGGGAACTCTCCCATCAGTGGCCCCCTTCCGGTGAGACCGACAGAGACAGGACGCAGCCAGATCAAGTCCTCCCGCTCGGAGCGTTAGGAAGAGAAGCCACTCTGACTGAAGAGGGAAAAAGAGAAAGACACCGTGTGGGCTGCTAGGCCTTCGGGGGGGCCGGCGTGCCCTTTGCTGAACCCACCTCTGCGTCGTGGCTCAGCCTGGCTGCCTCTGCCCATTGTGGCAGGTGCACCCCCCTGGAGAATAGGCTCAGGACCCTGCCCGCCCCCACCGGGTCACGGTGGTAGGACAGGTTGTTCACTTCTGCTCCACACAACAACGTGGGTGGATGGCAAGGGAACTCCGCTAAGTGAGAAAAACTGATCTCCAGAGGATTCCGTTTACACAGCATTCCCCGAACGACAGACTCTCCGGGTGGGCGTGGCTATAAAAGGGCAGCTGCTGTGTACCTTGCCCATGGTGGTGATGACACAGAGCTACCCATGGGGGAAGACGGCAGACTCAGATGTGACAGTGGTGAAATGAACAAGTAAGCTGCAAAGTTTAAGGGTGTATATTGTAATCCCCAGGGGCTGAATCAAAATGGAATCCTAAAAAAATATTCCATACATGCAAAAGGAGGCACACGGAGGACAAAACAGAACAAATATTGAAACAATAGCCATAAGCCCAGCTCTACCAATAATTATCTTAGATGCACCTGGACCAAGCCCCAGTGCTTGGTGTGGGATGACAGCAGCCCTGAACTTCTGGGACTTTGCTGGAGACTGGTGGAAAAGAATTCCACTAAGTTTGCTGAATGACGCTGACCACCTGCCTTCGCCACTAGCGTGCGGTAGGGAGACCCTGCCAAGGCAGGCCGGGCACGGGTGGACACAGCCCGCGGCCTGACAGTGCAGCCAGCCCCAGGGGCTGGCACCTACCTAAGCTGATTAAAGTCAACCTGTGGCTTAAACCTCTTGAGTTTGTTGTAACTAGACCCAAAAGATTCGCCTCCTCCAGGAAGTCGGCCTGGCAGCCCTTTCTCAGCCTCACCCCACAGGGCTCTCTGGTCTCCCACCCACTTCCTCCTCCCTCCCCTGGGATGACAAAGATTCTCTGATCAATCTCCACTCTTTTTGACTAGGTCTCCACTTCTGGGCTTTGGTGTTCATCTCAGCGCTGTCCAGTTATAGCAGGAACGCTCTACATCAGTTTAAGCCCGAATTCCCACTCCATACCTGATCACCCTCGATATCTAATATTTAATCAAGTTCCTCCTTCCCACCAGCCCTGGGGCACTGTCTGATACCCTGGCCTGCCTTTAGCGGGAATGCTGTTAGGTGGGTTCAGCCACAATCCCCCCTTCATCCCTGATGTTTCAGGTCAGTAATTCTCGGTCCACTGACCCCCCCCGACCCTTGGCTATAAACCCCCCCTTTGTCTTGTAGTATTCAGAGCTGCGTCCTGTCTTCCCCTCCACTGCAAGACCCCACTGCACGACCTGCTACCTATCACCAGTCCCCTCCCTTGAACAGTCTTCCTTGCCATCTTAACAAGCATCGTGAATAATTTCTTTCTTTAACGGGGTTCCAGGGCGCCTCATGGGCAGGTCTGTCCTGGGGTTGTGTCCTCGGGAGGGCTCAGCCTCCCCACGCTCGTACAGGCTGTTCTCTGATGGGTGTTGGACAGACTGTGGGGAGAAGAGAGAATGGATCCCCCACCATGTTCCTGGAAACCTGCAGGCTGACCTGTCTGTTGGTCACTCCCACTCCCTGTCAGGTCCAGGGCAACTAGGGGGAAGGAGTTGGGGCGGGGAGGGGGCTTAGCTCTCACCTGTCCTCTGCCTCCTCCTCCAAGTCCATCACCTCATGGCCATGGCCGGCTGCCAGGTGCCCGGCGTCTGGGGGAGCTGGGTCATAGTCATAGCTGTAGGAGGCAGAGGCCGGTGTCAGCTGCTCTGGAAGGAAGCGGGGGGCTAGGTCGGTAGGAGGGCACTGGAGGGAGAGGATCTGGATAGCAGACAGCTCAGAGAGACCATGAAAAGGAGATGATGTGTCCCAGAGCAACAGGCAGGAGGTGGGAGGTCACAAGGGTGGGGCAAGGGGACACAGGGTTCAGAGATGGGTAGTAGACGCGGAAAGGCACAAACTTGGGGTGGGGGTGGGGAGAGACTCAGCAAGACCGAGGAGCGGCAGAAACCCAGACGCAAGGAACCAGAGATGGGGGAGGACACAAAGCCTAAGGAACAGAGACAAAAAGACAGAGACTGGAGGGGAGATGCAGGGGCCACAGCTAGGGGGAATCAAGGGCTGTGGGGGGGGGTGGGGGAAAGGGGAGAGGAGGGGAGGAAGAGGAGAGCGATGCTAGACAGGAGGGAGGAGGTGGTGGGGAAGGGGAGGAGGTGCTGGGGAGGAGGTCATAGGACGGAGAGGTGATGAAGAAGATAGGGCAATGCACTATGTCCAGGGGGAGCTGAGGTCCCAGAGGCCAGACCCAGGGTGGGTCCTCACCGAGGGCACAGTGGCTAGGGGGCGCGGGCTCCAATCTCGCGCGGCCTAGGCAGGCAGCCTCCTGCAGGTGGCAGGCGCTGGTGTAGAGGACTCCGTCGGAGCCGCACACCGGCTCCCCGCCGGCGCTACAGTAGCGGGCGCAGCCACAGCGCGCAATCTTCGCCCCCTCCTCCGGGGCGGCCGCAGGACCCCGCGCGCCCGGGGACCAGCCTGGGGGCGAAGCGAAGTCGGCCGGCTCTTCGGGACCCCAACCCCCACCTGGCCGGCGCCTCCCACCAGGCCTGGAGTGGGGGAAAAGTCCCTGGGGGCAGGGACGACCTTCCCCAGGGTAGGGGCGGGTGCGCGACAGTTACTGGGAGTCCCTGAGCCCTGACCTGGTGGAATTTGCCTACCATTACGAAAACAAATAGAAGTTATCAACGAAAGCAATATAAACCTACTTCAAAATGTTTATAAAAAAAATAAAAGGACCCTGAAGGACACTCCAGCCCCGTCCAGACCTGCGCTGTGGCCACTCTCCGAG